TATATGCTTTAAACTTTCGTTTTATTTTTTTGAGTTTGAACTTCATCTTGATATTTTCAACATTATATTGAGAGTTATAACATGTTGATATAATGTTTGACTATTACTTGTTGACTTGAAATAATTTTGACCGGAACGGAACGCCATAAGTATCTGGTGTCTATTTATACATTTCCGAAGATGTACGTGATTTTGACAAGTGATATCTCCATAGGACATAGAAAATTTATTGAGTCACACCCCACTGCAATGATTAGCATCAGTTGAAAGGGTGTGGATATAAAACAACATGGGATTCACCGTTGTCATTCTCACGATAATACGTTGAACGTGAGTACGTGACTGTGAAAGTGAGAATCACAACTCGCGCAGTTACAGCATGCCAGCCCCCTGATTGTTAATTAAATTAGACGTCAAAACCGCAAATCAAAACTTTTGATGACAAACAGACTCTGCACAAAACGTGCCAATGTTGAAACAACAAGTTATCGTCCACTTCGAAAAGCATGCGAGGCACTCGTCTCGTACAATTTGGTGGGTGGCTAGTCAAGAACTACTCTCATACTCAATCGTTTTGTCTATACATTCAAAGGAATTTGGCCGCGTCCTTTCCTCGTAGCCTACGGTGTACACCCCAGCAGAAACACGTTTCCTCGCGGCTCTTTTTACAAAGGTCAGCTGGGAGAGATACGTGATCGCTTAATAATTAAAGAACAAGTCAGAAAGAGTAAAGTGAGGCAAACATTTCATGAATATTAGTCGAGAATATCCCTCGCTCTGGTTTATACTGTTAAAGTTTCTGTGATCACAGTAGGAAACATTTCTTACAAATCCTTCAAAACTTAGAATTTACCTATGCTTTTGCATATATAGGTAAATTCTAACTAAGGCCACATAAAAAAAAAAAATAGTTGGTTAGCGTCCCCGCCCGCCCACAAAAAAGGCCCCGCTCAGGATTTTTTTTTATTTTTTATTTAAAAAAAACCCCGACTTTTATTGATGAACGGGCTCTAATATATGTAGTATTTCTGTCTGTTGACTGTGGTCAATTGTGTTAATAATTTGCGAAATTGCGTGCGAAAATGACGGTATGAATTATATTTTGAAATATATAAAAAAATATCTGTACTGCGCAAGAAAATCGAGTTTCGGACCTAACAGTGAGTAAAACCAAGGCGTTAAAAATTAGTAAAAATTATAAAAAAAGCGCCCGCCCGCCCACTTTTTGGCAAAAGCTAAGGACTATCTGCTGAGCAAAAAGTTACTCGTGCCTGTTAGCTCAGCTGATAGCTCACCGATCAAACATGTTTGATACGCGAGAAAAGGTTGCATGAGGCAAAAAACTCAGTAAAATGTACGCGCACACGGTGAGCTATCGGCTGAGCTAACAGGCACGAGTAACTTTTTGCTCAGCAGATAGCTCTCGTGTGCGGCAGGCTTAACCAACTATTTTTTTTTATATGGCCTAATCTAAGTTTTGAAGGATTTGATTTGATTCCTACTGTGATCACATAAACTTTGATAGTGTAAACTTGCACACTTGCTTTTGCTGAAACCGTAATGGAACCACTGTATGGAGGAACCTATGTACGTTCTATAGCCAGGCTTAGGCGTCACGTACATACTTTGATGAAACTGTATTTTAGGCCATATAAAAAAAAATAGTTGGTTAGCGTCCTTAGCTTTTGCCAAAAAGTGGGCGGGCGGGCGCTTTTTTTAATTTTTACTAATTTTTAACGCTTTGGTTTTACTCACTGTTAGGTCCGAAACTGGATTTTCTTGCGCAGTACAGATATTTTTTTATATATTTCAAAATATAATTCATACCGTCATTTTCGCACGCAATTTCGCAAATTATTAACACAATTGACTATACAGTCAACAGACAGAAATACTACATATATTAGAGCCCGTTCATCAATAAAAGTCGGGGTTTTTTTAAATAAAAAATAAAAAAAAATCCTGAGTGGGGCCTTTTTTGTGGGCGGGCGGGGACGCTAACCAACTATTTTTTTTTATGTGGCCTTAAACTGAAGTCCCAGTTACAGTATGAGAGCCAGGAACGCCGGAACAATGTGAAGGCAAGGAGGGGCAGATTTTCGTGAAAGGGCACTTTTGAATTGCTATATACTAAGAGATGTTTGCAAAACATCGGGAGTTGAACTTCGCCTAATCATGTTTTTTATTTATTGGATGATAGGGGTGTGAGGGGGTTCTCCGCCAGGCGATTGTGCTATTCTTGAAGCTCGACGATTGCATTTCTTGCGTTTTCTGAAGCAAATTCGTAAAAGAATTGGACTAACATTTCTGACAATTCGCTATTTCGCCAAGGCAATCCTTTAAATTGAAAGGGCACCTTTGCCCCCCTTGCCCCTCCTGGTAAAGGGCAACGGGGGCTCCTGCCCCCCCCCCCCCAAGTTCCGGCGTCCCTGATGAGAGTTGATGAAAGTTGGCAGCACGTTGGCAGTCACTCGTTGCCATGGGGGGGATTAACAGAAAAAAAGTTTGATGAGTGTTCCAACTATTTTTTAACTTAAATAGGATACATGATAGTGTTGACTATTGGGAAAGCATTAAGAACACTGCTAAGCAAGGTCGCGTGACTCTCAAAACTCGCAGAATGTATATATGGCCTCAAGCAGAACAAACTTCGAGCAAACTGAGCAAGCCCGATCTTGAACACCGAAAACAACCCTAGGAACAATCGCGTCGCCTGAATCGTGCCATTACTGGCTTTCAAAGTCGTGACGAAAAAGTGAAACTGGTTACAAAATCCCGCTCAATATGACAATGTACAAATAAAATATTTTAAAAGTGCGCGCAATTAAATATGGCATATTGTAAATTGCGCATATCCGGAGCAAAGTTTAACTGAAAACCACATGAAAATTTGAAAGTCTTCGTGGAGACCGCCTATATATAAAAATATAGTTCTCTAATTTGCGTGCCTTTGCAACTATTTCAGGGTACTGGTTTATTTGCGTCACATGTGACGGTCACAGCTGTAAATGATAATGATAACAATTTCGTAACACCAGACTATTGCGTGTCAACTGGATTATTGATACGCTTGTGAACTTTTCCCATTCTGATAACCAAAGAGAATCAGTTTAACTTTTGAAATTGATAGAAATCAGGCTGCCACCCATGAGCGTGATTCGCAAATGTTAAAAATGTAGTCAAAAATGCTGTAAATTTGCCCGCCATTGACAGGTGATTTTGCTGATGTAATCTTGAAGGGTCTAAGGTACTAGGTAGTCCCAATAATAACAAAACTCGGATTGTACAAGGAGAACTTCAACGTTTCGTGTTCCCAACGAAGGGTCTCCGCTCGAAACGTCGAAATTCTCCTTGTATTTTTCAGGTAGTCCCATTATATATCAACCCAAGTTTTGTGATATTTCTGATACTGTGATATGTGCTTATCAATACGGACGGTATTCAACGCGAATCAGTATAAGATCTGAACGACTGAACACACTTGAAATTGATGAAAATCAGGCTGCCGCGCAAAAGCGCATAACTGCATATTCGGAACTTTGTACATCCCATACGTGTAGGCATAAATGCATAACACAATATAGTAAACCAGACTCTGACGAGTGAATTGTATAAAATGTTCATACGCGCTTATGAATGTGGACGCGCTTGATGAGTCGACTCTTAGTGTAAAACGATAAGAATCAGCCACCTGTATACTCTCAACCTTTTGAAATATTTACAGCGCACGTATGGCCAAAATATAATAGCGACATAAATGTTCACAGAAGACAGAGGAATTTTTCACCTCCTATATTCGTTGTCAAATAGCACAGAAATCTAAATATACATTTCAAACATAGATAGAAATCAGTCTGTGCGTTCTAAGCGCCTAAATTCTAATTTCTAAGCTGAAATGCACGCATGGCGGTGTAATACCCATGCTATATTGTTATAGCAAGATTTCTTATTTTGGCGCAATAACCGATAAATGAATTGCTCAAGGTTTTTTAGCCACCTTTGGATCAACAACGCATTGTTCATAAAGATTACTTGAATAATATTAACACAAACCTTCTGAGTCCTGAACAAAAACGGTGGTTTCCGTACACCAGAATTAAGACGGCTGAAATGTCAAAATCCCCAAAGGCTGTTCCGAGCGGAGTATTTTGATAAATATTCCTTTTCCACGGTCAATATACAGCATTTCAATCTCAGTGATAGCCAGCTATGACGCTCGAATTTTATGACGTTGGAACATTAATTTGGACAGCTAGCTCCATATCACATTACGGATGCTTGAAAATATGGCCAAGTCTGAACAGGTAAACAAAGATGTCAAAAAGTGTCGATTTTACAAAAAGCAGAACATGTTAAAATTAATAATGCGAAAATTATCGCAAAAGGTGTTTGTATGTTACAAACGCGATATGTTTTCTTTTTTGTTTGGGGAAATGCTTTGTAAATATATTTCGCAATTATTTGTCAGTTTAATTATTTCTACAAACTAAACGTGATGCTTGTGAACACGAGTTTCTACACGAATTGCAGATTATCTCAAACGTGGGTGTAACCACAAAACTCAGACTCGTCCCCAGTCGCTTTTTGAAATTCAAATAACCACTGGGGACGAGTCTGGGTGTAACTGATAAATACCTGAGAAAGATATCTCATCAGGGCCGCAGCGATCGGGAGGGATGTGCAACTACGTTTTACTTCTCACACCGTGGGGAAATGCGCAAAAACTACTGAATATAAAAAATACCACAAACAATCGCCTCAAATGTAAGAATAATTCATATTTCATAAATACAAACACTTTTATAAAAATACAAGCTACTATATAATACAACTATATTCTAATATAAATAAGTTAACTAAGCTGTACAATTCAACACCATCTAGAAGCAGATCAATAATATACAGTGTCCCACTCAGTGTATTGAAATGGAGACGTAAAGTCCTCGTATTTATGGCAATATGATTGGTCGAATTCATTATAATCATGGTTGTAAGTACGCTGTTCCTGGGGCTGGAAACCCGGGAGGACTAATCTCGGATATTGGGCATTTATCTCCGGTATTTGAAACTGTGGAATGTCGGATAATTGATTCATAGCTTGATACGACTCTGGATACGAGTAGAGTGGTTGGTGGAATTGTGGGTAAAGCATTACGTCATTTTGTGGGTAAAGGATGACGTCATTTTGCAGGAAAGTGGACACGTGGTCGCCAAGGTCGATGGATGATGACGTGGATAATGTCAAGGTGTCTGGAGATTCTCTGCAGCATGATGTTAAGGTGTCTGGCGATTCTCTGCAACATGTTCTGGAGAATTCTTCCCATGAGCAATAGCGGGTTATGACAGGCGTTGGAATGACGTCATCTGTTTTTATCGTTTCACAAGAACGTTTGGCGTGTAGTAATTCTCGTTTTCTAAAAGGGTTGAGAACAAACGTGAGTTTCAAACATGAATGTGGAATAGTACCGGGATATTCCACATGAATTATATTCAGGGTTAGTGGCAGTTGTTTTAAGAAGACGGCTGTATATTAAAGCGATGCACATTCAGCGATTACGAATTTTATATACTTGTGATATTCAGTACATTCTAAGACGAAGTGCAATATATTTTCTTAGAAAAAACTTCATGGTTTTTTCGCTGTTAAACGTACCGGAAATTATGTTAATTAACTTAAACAAGGCATTTTTGTGGCAAGAAAGCCAAGAAACAAGTGATTTGGATTGCTTATGGATGCAGTGGTTTTTGCCTCATAAGGAAGATTGTTCCAAACTGCACTATTGGAACCGAAGCACCGTTTTCCAAATTCTTTCTTCGGCTAAGGAAGTGTTAATTTCTCTATTTCCCAGGTTGCATGTGTTACCTGTTTGACGACGTTAAGCAATCAATGATCAACTATTCATTATTGAAACTAACCAAAACTTACCTCTTAAGAGAAGCCTTACGAATCTGGTAGTTGTCCCGGAATCCCACGGAGGAAGGATTGTTCTCGATTTTCAGTTGTGTAATTTTTTCATTCCTGTAGCCAGTAACAGTAATGAACTCGGTCAGCGGTAGTTCAATCATGCGCATGTGAGGTTGATGACAATGTGAACACTGCAGTTTGGTTACTATCACTTGAACACGATATTTACGTAGGCTTGATACTTGAATCTAAATGGATAAATTAGAAGCTGGTGAGAAGGGTGTATGAGGCTTGGCAGTCACGCGACCTTGGTTAGCTGTTCGTAATGCTTTCCCAACACTATCATTATTATTTTCAGGTAGTTCAGACACAAACTAAAGCAGCCGCTTATTGTAGGATACTACCTACACTGGCCCCCATGTTTGAGATATCTTGATACTTGAATCTAAATGGATAAATTAGAAGCTGGTGAGAAGGGTGTATGAGGCTTGGCAGTCACGCGACCTTGGTTAGCTGTTCGTAATGCTTTCCCAACACTATCATTATTATTTTCAGGTAGTTCAGACACAAACTAAAGCAGCCTATTGTAGAATACGACCTACACTGGACCACCACGTTTGAGATATCTTTTTCAGGTTTAGTTCAGATACAAACTAAGGCAGCTTATTGTAGAATACTACCTACACTGGACCACCACGTTTGAGATATCTTTTTCAGGTAGTTCAGGTACAAACTAAGGCAGCTTATTGTAGAATACTACCTACACTGGACCACCACGTTTGAGATATCTCTTTCAGGTAATTCAGGTACAAACTAAGGCAGCTTATTGTAGAATACTACCTACACTTGGGCGACCACGTTTGAGATATCTTCTTCAGGCAGTTCAGACACAAACTACGACAGCTTGTTGTAGAATACTACCTACACTGGGCCACCATGTTTGAGATATCTTTTTCAGGTAGTTCGGAAACAAACACACCTATAGACTGGACCCGCCCGCCATGTTTGAGGTATATTTTTCAGGTAGTATATTTTCAACACATGCTTACCATAAATTTCTCGGTTTTGTTCAAGTCATTCGTCAGACGCAATTTATCAAACGTGACGTCACCAGTTGTCCAGAACGCGCCGAGTGCAGGCGAGCACGGATGTTGGTAAAATCTTCGTCCAGTATTCGCGGTCGTGTCGGGCATTGTCGTAGACCATTGAAACCATTTCTTGTTGGCTTGAGAGAAACGATACCTCGCCCAGTCAACATTCGTGAAGTTGACAGCCAAGCTATATTTTTCAGTGGGCGAGAGACCTGACAGTTTCAAGGCTAGAACTGGGAATAATGCCCTATAAAAATGAAACATTTAAAAGATTAGGATTTCGGCATCTCACTCAATAGATCTCGATATAATTGAACAATAGGCAATTCCAGGTATAGACTAAATTTTGATCTGGGAAAGAAGAACAAAATCCATCACCACAGCTAGAAAGAGCATGTTAAAATTAGTGAAATTGCAGAGTTTGGCCGCGAAATGTTGTAAAATGCGGAAAATATAGCCCTGCGAAATTTGCAAATTTTGTATTTGATTTTGTATTACGCGCGGGAAAATGCACCACATTTGGGTCGCGGGAAAATGCACCACAGTTGCGAAAAATGTAACTATTAAGTATAGGCCCTCTGCACTGGAAAAAAATTGTGAAATCCATACTATGAGATTTGCAATTGCACCACTAAATCATGCATAGTATATCAATTATTATGGATAATCAAAAATCCATTTCCAATAAAGGTCCATACAATTTCCATTCTATGGATTTTCAAAATTTTTCCAGTGCTGCATGGCAGGAATCGAATCGGCGATTTCAGTGCAGCGCTCTAACCAACTGAGCTTAGTATTTATACATAAACCTCTGGTCAGAGCTCGACAACTGTCTCTTTGTAGCTCAGTACCATAACGATAATTACGACCAAATATGTACCACAGCAATAATTACGATATATATCGTCGCTCATATTTCTACCTTCGATGCGATAATCATGGTTGAAAATATCACCACAATATCGATATATCGCCCAACCTTGATGTACACTTCAAAAAAACTAACCTGATTTAGATTGAACTTGGGTTAGTTTTTGTAGCGTAAATCAGGCCCACAAAATCACAGGATTTTGGGCACCTACCATCGATATAACTAAAGGTTTAAGGGGTTTTGTAAATGGAAATTTCAAATGTGAATTTTATACAAAAATTAGAGCTCGACAACTGGCCTCTGTACTACTGTAGCTCAGTTGGTTAGAGCGCTTTACCCCGGAATCGCTGATTCGATTCCTGCCAGGGGGCCTATTGTTGCAGTTTTCGCAAGTGTTCCTAGTTAGGTCTATACTAAATGTATAAAAATTTACACTCGCAATTTCTATTTACAAAACCCAATCACAAAATCTCAATATAACATACCGTCCCGTGTTGATGATTTTCATTTCGTGGTCTTCGGCGTGAAATATTTTCCACAGCGCTTCGTTTCCCAGCTCGACTTTCACATCACTCAAGTGCTTCGTCCCACACGATAGTGAACTCTTAGTTCTGCTCGGAAATACAGCTTTGGCTCCCACGTGCGTCAACTTTGGAGCGATGGCTCGGAGTTTCCCGATGTGGCATTTTGGGTTCGTGGCTTGAATCGCGCCGTGATCATCGCTTGCGGTAACTCTACTCGATATGGCCGTGGTGTTATGACACTCGTTGAAGAAATCTGACATGTTGCAATGGTACTTGGAGTATGGCAGAGGCAACTGTTGGTCTTTTGGTCGATGGTACTTGCTGTTCTTCCTTCGGTCAATGCGAGAATGAATGGACAAGACTCGTCCCGCACTTGTTTTTATAAGGGACTATACATGAGCCATGAGTCATACTTTGTTTTGTCCAAAACACATTTTCATCAAAACAACGCAGCACAAAAGCTTGAGTTGTAAAGACTTTGAGATTTGCATACAGAACGCGGCACCGCCATACGTCACGAGATATATATAGTAACACATACCATATTTGGTAGTGTGGTAGCAAGCATTGCCGAGTTATATTTTGGCCGAACCGATCTCAAAAAATAAGAAAACTTTTGAAGTTTTCTATCTTTTTCAGGTAGCCAGACCTTTTGAAACGTATTGAAGAATACTACCTACACCAGACTCCACGTTTGAGATATCATGGTATTTTTGCATGATTCGCTTGACTTTGCTTGCAAAATAAGGGGTAAAAACGGTCACCAGGGTAACGGGTTTGAGTGTTAAGGAATGTGAAGAAAATAGATACAATATATATTTTGAAAACATTTTCAAAGTCTTTCGTGAAAGCTATATTAGTGTTACTTTAAACATGAAACCTAAACTAAAACTAATTTTATTTAGTATGCTGGATAGCTCTACTGATCAGTTCTAAACTGTTCTCCCTAAAGGTCCAGTAAGGATCATCTCTTATTGATCCACTGTTACTACAGGAGGAAACCTAAACTAAACTAACTTTATGTATGCTGGATAGCTCTACTGATCAGTTCTAAACTGTTCTCCCTAAAGGTCCAGTAAGGATCATCTCTTATTGATCCACTGTTACTACAGGAGGAAACCTAAACTAAACTAACTTTATTTATACTGGATAGCTCTATCAGTTCTAAACTGTTCTCCCTAAAGGTCCAGTAAGGATCATCTCTTATTGATCCACTGTTACTACAGGAGGAAACCTAAACTAAACTAACTTTATTTATACTGGATAGCTCTATCAGTTCTAAATTATTCTCCCTAGAGGTCCAGTAAGGATCATCTCTTATTGATTCAGTATGACTACAGGAGGGAACATAAACTAGACTAACTTTATTTACATTGGATAGCTCTATCAGTTCTAAATTATTCTCCCTAGAGGTCCAGTAAGGATCATCTCTTATTGATTCAGTGTGACTACATTCAGTGTGTATAGTGTTCCTGTAGGAGTCGATTGTGCTATTCAAGGTAACCTAGGCAACGTATAATCAACTAAGGAATGTGAAACAAAGACTTAAATAGTTTCAAAATTAACATTCGGTAACAATGGTGGAATTCAGACTAAACAAATCAATTATTTCAGGAATTTGTTGGTAAAAACAACGTCAACGTTTATTTATCTGCATGGCAAAGCTTCCGTAGAAGTTTTCACAAAACAGAACAATTGTATTTTATATTGGCACGCAAACCTACAAGGTCTTAAATTTCTTGATTAAATTGTGCGCTATCGTTTGCCAAGTTTTAATCCTGAACTAAACAATGATTATAGAGATTAAAGAATAAAGTAATTTTGACTTCACATGAGCTTAAATTGATTGAGTCACGATCTTTCTCATCAGCCGAAATAAAACATTTTAGAACTGAAATACGCGGAGTGATTATAACTAGAGAATACTTATGATTTATATGTGGTTTACAGGTATAAACTACTATAAACTGGCCGTTGCGAAAGATCGTGACTCTATTTTTAAGATCGTCGTATGGAAACCAAGCTCAAGGCGAAAAATTAATCAGTTAAAGTTTTTCCCCTAGCGTCCTATGCGGGTAGTAGTCGGACACAAAATACATACTTTTATTATATAGTAGAGAGTGAGATACTAAAAAATACACAGGGAGATATTTTCCATATCTTCACTAGTGAAGATATCGATCACGTGACTTTTTCCAATTTGCTCTTGAGCGTGAAATTTCACAATTTTTTGTTTGGGACTATATAATAAACAGAACATTATACGGTGGCTTGAAGATATGACTTTTATCTTCTCGTGTTAAAAACAATATTTTACTCACTCACTTCGCTCGTTCGTAAAATATTGTTTTCACCACTCGAAGATAAAAGTCATATCTTCGCGCCGCCGTATAATATCCTCTATATATCAGCACTGGCACTGCAGAACACTATCTACACTGAATCCCAAGCAGGATCCCCACGTTTTGAGATAAAGCAACTTCGAACGCAACCATCACATGCACGTTAGTCTTGACTTAAATTTTTTTCAAATATCGTCGATTGAAGTGCTACAGGATAAATGCTTACTTTTTCATCAAGTCTTTTCTGTAAATCCCACAAATATCGATCATATATACTGCAACGATCAGATCAACGCTGTAATAGCAAACCAAAACATAATAAAATATATAATAATAAATAATAAAATTATATTAAATATATGAATTAGATAATAAAATTATACTAAATATATTAAATTTTTTAGCCAGCCTATAATTTGTACGAGAGACAATATAATTTTCCTTTCTGGAAAAGATGGTCTTGGACGTTTTAAAAGCCTTTGTGTTTACGAGTACTGGATAGCTTTTCGTAGCGACGTGAAAAAACACCTATTCGTACCTTTTAGGAACGCTATTTTCAGAGGAATTATTGCAACAGAGAGATGTTGTTTCGCTCAGCTTCCAAAAGTTAAAAACCTTTATTATATAAACATAAGTGTTATATAGAGTTTTTGGCCACTGAGAAAAATCGTATTTAAACACACGTAAAAAATACGACATTTTTACGTGGGAAAATATCATTTGTTGCAAAACCCATTGCCACGGACGTTACAATTCCGTGTATTTCCGCGCACCCATGTATTATTCTCTATATCCGGTATAGAGTAAACACAGTCTAAGTGATATGTTATAAAAATTTTGAAAAAAATCCCAGTGTAACTATAAAAATCGTGGTAAGAGCAAATGCGCAAAAGATCAAATCTAAAAGGTTTCAAAAGACTTTATTAAATAATTTTACATACATAACTTTTGAATTTTAACATTCAAAAGAATTACCAAAAAATCTTAATATCTACATATGGCAAGAAAGTTGAAAACTCTAATACAGTTCAATACTCGGTATAGTTCTTTAGCACAGCGGTAAATGTTGTATTAAGTCAAAATTGTCCAATTTCTCAGAGATATAGTTGACATTAAACAGTTCATCAAAAACAGACGAATCAAATACTTCGTTCTTTTCTGAAGTTAGAAACGGCGAGAGATAGATCTTGATATATTCCAGTATGTCGTCGTCAGTCTGAACATGCGCAGTTGGCTTTGTGATCTGACATGTGTATACGGTATTGCACTGTTCCTTGGCAGTCAGGGTATTCTGAGAAAGCATCTTTGGGTCACCCGTAGCCTTTATCATAGGAGGTTGTAGATATGTGGAAGTAGATAAGGGTAGGAAGGGTCTTGCTGGCTCGATACTTGACGAGGACGAGATTATAGTGGTTTGACTCGATATGGGTGGTAACTGGGAACTTGATGTACTTGGCAGGATATTTAGGGAACTCGAGGTACTTTGAAGTACACTTGGGGTCACAAAGGATAGTATAGTGGGTAACTTTGAATTTGATGTACTTTGAAGGATACTGAAGGTGTTCGGCATAGTTGATAGCTGGGTACTTGTGGCGGTAGAAAGGTGCTCGTTGTGTAACATGGTCACGTGGGTCGAGTCTGACGAATTGATTGGCTGAGGCAACAAAGCGGAGGCTAGAAGATTTGTTTCCGAGATTTTGTTCTCAGTACCATCGCCAGTCTTTTGCTTTTTTGTTCTGCTTGTCGGAACGTCCTCAGGACTGCACAAAAATATAAATAATGATGACAATAAGTTTTACGTTTACACTGTATCGGCTAGCTTTAGGTAGCGACGTGAAAAAAACACCTATCCTCTGTATCCGTTCTTTTAGGAACGAATCAGTATTTTCAGAGGGATTATTGCAAGGGAGAAATGTTGTTTCGCTCAGTTTCTGAAAGTTGTACATTCCGTATCGGAGAGGTGTTTTTTCGCGCCGCTACGAAAAGCTATCCAGTATAGTGGAAATTGTAGCCTTTATGTGCGAATTTAAGGTACATTTAAAATGTTAAACTCTTCGCATAATCAAGATAACTTGAAGGCTTCGGTGGCGCACTCATCAGAACAAGCGCCTTTCACCTGAGATCGCGGGTTCGATTCTCGCTACGGACTAATCAGGGGCCTAGGAACCGGGGGGCACGGGGGGCACGTGCCCCCCCCACCAATTTTTGCAAAGGACTAAAAGTGCCCTTTTTTTGTGATGAAAAGTGCCCTTTTTTGTGATGAAAAGTACCCTTTTTGTACAAGCTAATGTAGCTGTAAATACTAAATTAACATCAAAGGTGCCCTTTTTGTTTGGAAATTTCCAAGTTTTTAAAAAAAATTTGGTCAAAAACGTGCAATCTTGGTATGGTACGACTGGAAAATCCCCCCCCTCCCCCGTCGCCAACATTTCGGGGGAAAATTTTTTAGGTGCCCTTTTCAATACCATAAAGTGCCCCTAGAAGCCGGTGCCCCCAATCTTTTGATGCTTCCTACGCCCCTGGGACTAATAATAATAATATTATAATAATAATAATATGACTTTATTTAAGCACGATGATGTTTAAAGCATAAGCTTGTGGGGTCGTGCACTTAGAGATATATACAAAAGTTATAAATTATAGAGAATTAATTACTATCTATTTACTAACTATGTCTATAAAAAGACAGAGTCTTTGAAGGTGACTCATGTGTTAAGAGTCTGTCAACGTTCTACCGAAAGTCGTGGGTTTTCTTTGGGTGCTCCGGTTTCCTCCCACAGGGAAAGTTGACAGGGTGGGTTAGAATAAACACAGTTAGGAAAGTAATATCACAATAGTTGTAAAGATAAATAGTCTAGGCTAAGTAAGAAACATGAGCATAAGCGTGATACCTGACAACGTAATCAGTCACTGAAAAGTCCCAATGGGGAGTGAGCCGAATAACAACGTAACGAAATGTAACAATAGACATTTCCCCTTATGAGTGAAATTTTGATCTAGACAAGTCTAGACAAAAAGTTGAAAGAGCATCACAAAATTAGTAATATTCCGAAGTTTCGTTGCAAAATGTTGTAAAATGAGCATAATATAGCCCTGCGAAGGTTGCCGTTTTTCAGTCATTTTGTATTACAAATGGGAAATTGATAATCAGTTTGATCATCTGATTACCAATTTCCCGTTTGTAATGCAAAATGACTGAAAAACGTCAAACTTCGCAGGGCTATATTATCCGCATTTTACAACATTTTGCAACGAAACTTCGGAATATTACTAATTGTGTGATGCTCTTTCAAATTTTTGTCTAGACTCGTCTAGATCAAAATTTCACTCATACGGGGAAACGTCTATTGCCTTTAGCTCTTGGCTTATTATATATTATGTACATACTCAACTTTTGCATACCTCTTACGATTGCAATTCTTTCTTTTGCGTTGAGGACACCTTGTCTTAGCCAAAGGATTGTAGGCTATCTTCAGTTCTGTCACTTTCACACTGTAGTAGCTTGAGACGGCGATGAACTCGGTCAGTGGTATGTCGATATAACGTGTGTGTTCAGTACGACAGCGCGAACACCGGAGCATGGTAACTACTAACTGAACACGATGCTTCCTCAATGTTGGTGCATAAACCTACGAAAGGGAAAATACTAAAAGTTCATCTTTTTAATCTACTCACACACGTAAAAATTTCATATCTTGTAGCAAGTCTGCCAACAAGCCGTCAACAAGTTGTGTTCGCACTGCTTGTCCCAAGTTGTCAACAAGTATGGGACAACCTGTTAACAACTTGTAACAACCTACTGTAGTTGATGTTATCAGACTTGTTGCAAGGTTGTTCCAACAAGTCATGACACAGTCATGATATAACAATATTGTTACAGCCTTGTGTCGTCAACCTCGTAACATTCTTGTTAAATCAGACTGTGTCAGACTTGTTAGAACAACCTTATATGACAGTGTAAATATAGTTAGTATAGTTTAGGTTTCCTCCTGTAGTAACACTGGATCACTAAGAGATGACTCTGGCTGGACCTTTAGGGAGAACAGTTTAGAACTGATAGAGCTATTGTCGTCAACCTCGTAACATTCTTGTTAAATCAGACTGTGTCAGACTTGTTAGAACAACCTTATATGACAGTGTAAATATAGTTAGTATAGTTTAGGTTTCCTCCTGTAGTAACACTGGATCACTAAGAGATGACTCTGGCTGGACTCTGGCTGGACCTTTAGGGAGAACAGTTTAGAACTGATAGAGCTATCCAGTATAAATAAAGTTAGTTTAGTTTCGGTTTCCTCCTGTAGTAACACTAGATCAATAAGAGGTGACACTTACTGCACCTCTAAGAAGAACAGTTTAGAACTGATAGAGCTATCCAGTATAAATAAAGTTAGTTTAGTTTAGTTTAGGTTTCCTCCTGTAGTAACACTGGATCAATAAGAGATGACTCTTACTGGACCTTTAGGGAGAACAGTTTAGAAGTGATAGAGCTATCCAGTATAAATGTTAGTTTAGTTTTAGGTTTCCTCCTGTAGTAACACTGGATCAATAAGAGGTGACCCTTACTGGACCTCTAAGAAGAACAGTTTAGAACTGATAGAGCTATCCAGTATAAATAACAACCCAGAACAAATAAAGTGAGTCTGTTTAGTTTTCTTCCTGTAATATAATAAACTGGACCACTAAGAACAGTGTATAAATGATAAGCTCTTCATATTAGTCAGTTAGATATTTAAAAATAACGGAGTCAGAAACCATACATAACACTCACCATATTTTTGGCTTTCGTGGCTCGATTAGTGAGCCGTAGTTCTCTGAACGTCAGCGGCTTCTCACTCCAATTATGCCCGTTCGTAGGCGACGCGGGATGTTCGAAACACCTTGAATGTGCAGGCTGATGTCTGTCCTCATACGTTGGACCCCATTTTCCACAGGAAGTATAGAAATAGTAGCGGTATTTGTCCACACAGATGAACCTCACTGAGATGCTGTACATTTCGTCTGCGCCAAGTCCTGATACACTCAGCTCGAGTGTTGGAAACATTGGTCTAGAAATAATATGAAACTTTTAGTTGACTTACATCAGCGCTCGAAATAGGAAAAACATTTGGCCTGCCCAACTATTTTTTTGGCAGGTCAAATAAATTATAGTCTGCTATTTTTATTTTTGAACTGCCAAAACAGTCTCATTCAGGTATGATAAAAAGGTTAAATGTTGATTTTTCATGCATATCAATCATTTATATCTTTTATTTAACTATTTAAGGGACCGTAAGATTGGCGTTAAGGCAAATCGTTAACTAAAAATGACGAACTGCAAATCGATTGTGTCCTCAACCACTGGACACAATAGGTAATTGCAGCTTTTAGTTTATGCGTGCAAGGGACGATGGGAAGTAAGGCAATCACATTGGTGATTATGCGGAAAAAATAAAAATGATGGCCGTGTAAACACGGAGTGATAGCTTATACTTGTAAATATTGAAATATTTCGGTTGTTTCGGTAGTTTTTATTGAAATTTTTCAGCATAATCAGCAATATAATACCTTACTTCCCATCATCCCCTGCAGGCATAAACTAAAAGCTGGAATTGCCTATTTTGTTTTCGCCTGCCATTTCTGAAATATGGCCTGCGTTTGGCCATTGGTAGGCCGCTATTTCGAGCCCTGATTTACGTTGTGTTTCCACAAAAAAAGTTAAATGGGGTTTCAGTAAACTTGACAGGGCATGATGGTGGACACATTCAGAACTGTGGACTCTTTCAGGAAATACGTCACTACTACATACAATAGCGAGGTTCAGATTCGACTTCCACTACCGCTACTATTAATGGACTATTAACCAATCAGATGCGTTTGATATATCCGATTAACCAAGCAGCTGCGTTTGATATATCCAATTAACCAATCAGATGCGTTTACCGCTACTATTCTATTAACCAATCAGATGCGTTTGATATATCCGATTAACCAAGCAGCTGCGTTTGATATATCCAATTAACCAATCAGATGCGTTTGATATATTCGATTAACCAATCAGATGCGTTTGATATATCCGATTAACCAATCAGATGCGTTTGATATATCCGATTAACCAATCAGATGCGTTTGATATATCCGATTAACCAATCAGATGCGTTTGATATATCCGATTAACCAATCAGATGCGTTTGATATATCCGATTAACCAATCAGATGCGTTTGATATATTCGATTAACCAATTAGCGGTAGTGGAAGTCAAATCTGACTCTCTCAAATGAAACGAATTAAAACTATTTTTCAGTCTGATTAAGCCTGGTTTTCCTATGGTCGTAATCGTCATAAAAATAGAGTCACGATCTTTCTCAACGGCAAGTTTATAATAATTTATACCTGTAAACCACATATAAATCATAAATATTCTCTAGTTATAATCACTCCGCGTATTTTCAGTCCTAAAATGTTATATTTCGGCTGATGAGAAAGATCGTGACTCAATCTTTACGACCGTTACGACCATATGGAAACCAGGCTTAACTATCGGATTAACTTCACCTCAAAAAAAGCATTATAACAAACAACCGAATAAACACGAGCTATTGATACAGCATTAAATATACACAAACCATTAAACACTAAACACTAAACACTAAACAAATAAAGACATCAACGTACCTTCCATTTTTCGCCACAATCATTTCATTTCCTTGGTCATAAATTAATTTCCACAGCTCTTCTTTTGCCAGCTTCACTTTGACATCGCCCAAATTGCCATCACAGCTCGACTCATGAGAAACACAGCTTCCCACTCGCTTGCTCGTTGACTGACGGTTCTTTGACTTCGTACTTGCTTTGGTAACGGACTTGGTACAGCAATTCTGCCCCTTGGTGGAGGAAGGGACAATGGTGACAACTTGGGTTGGGGTTTGTTGGAATTGTGGATAGGACTTGGTGTAATTACTGTTCGATTTTGGAAGAGTGTTTAATCCAGAGTTTGGAGGAGTAGGTTTGATGGGAGAGCAGATGGTATTCTTGTTTGAGGTTGGAATTACCAGGTTCGATGATGTCAGCTGGGTTTTTGAGGTCACACAAGCACTCGCGATTGAAGGAGTGTTCCTTTTTAGCAGTTGATACAACAGAGGACTCGCTGAAGAACATTTAGTCTTGGTATTTCGAATCGGTTCGGTGTAGATAGGCTTTGGTAGTATCATTTGAAATTTCACGTTCGTAGAGTAACACGCAGGTTGGTTTGTGGCTGGTCTTGAAGGCTCGTTTGGTCCAGTATTTACGGGATCAGGGTTGGATCTCGCAGAAGGGAACATGGTATTTGAGGTTAGAACTAAGGGACTGGTTAATTTCACGGTCGATTCTGAAAGCTCGTTTGGTCCAGTGGTCATGAGCTCAGGATTAGGTCTTGCTGGAGGAAACATGTCTTTCGAAGTGAACACAGTGTAGCTAGGTTTTGGCGATGTCTTATGAATTTCCGAGGGACTGGTTGAATTCATGGTCGATTTTGAAAGCTCGTTTATTCCAGGACTTCTCGTGTTCGGTTTCGTGGAATGAAGCTTCTTCTTGGAAGCTAACACAGTGTAGACAGGCTTTGGTGTTTGTATCGTCTGAGCTTCCGAGAAACTGGTTGAATTCTTGGAGAAATTAGGAAACTCGTGCAATTGAGAGGCGACAACATCAGGCTTGGGTTCCGTGGGCTGAAAGATACTATCTCGCACTACATCAGGTAGGGCAGCGTCTGTAGTTGTACCATATGCTTGACCAGCGAGTGTATTACGTTGCACGCCATTCGGGATAACAGTTTTAGACACGTTGTCAGGGTCAACGAAATCATTGCGATACCGGAGCCCACTCGATGCTAAAATATCTGAGTTTATATACTCAGAATGATCGCTTCTCATGACTTTGACCAACTCTTGAATCCCTGGTAGCATTGGCAACATTATGAAAGCTTTTGAACTTGATCAAATTTTTATCCAGCGCTGTCGAGCTTGTATTCTCAAATGTTCTCCGCGTTCGAGTTTGTGTCCTCAACTGGCACTCTCTTTCAAAACCGCGAGGTTTATATATTCCAGCTCTGAGTCATCACCAGTCAGGATGTGTAATACTCGATCCAGCGTGGAAACTAATCACCCATTCACTAGGTGTGATGTTGTTATTCATAGTGCGCGCGTCATGTGCTAAATTTAGTAGCATGGTTACCGAATGGTCAAAACGCGCTACGGTTGAACACACAAGTATGTATAAAAACATCTATGTGATAGTAATGTGATCACACTTTGGAAAAACAAAAAAATTTACTGTGATACTTTGTTTATGTTTGCACGAAATATACGCATTACATATTACATATTTTAACGAATTTATTTGAAGACAACGTTCGAAATTTGCCTTCGAAATAGCAACATTCGAAATTCGCAAATATAACAGTTTTTCTTTATAGGCTTACCAATTTAATAACACTCATTGTAAAAATATTTTCTCTTTAAACAAACCAATTGGTTTACTTAGACATGACAAACATGACAATTTTTTGCTTGAAAATTTCAACAGATTTCGAATGCAACTTCGTTTCTCGTTCAAACACTTCAGTCTTCAGACTTTTTATGAACGCAAATTTGTTTTCTTCGTGTTTATTTAAATATATATATTTATAACAAAAATGTAACACAGACAACCTTTATATTTCAATTTACAAATTTCTTATACAAATGCTTGCAGTTATAATCACTGCAAAGACCCAGGCTATTTTCCTGATAAACAAATTAAAACATGAACATTTTCAATACTACAGTGAAAGTCTCAGTAAATAGCAGTATACAACAATAGATATCAAGCATACAACTTGCCCATGTTGTCATAGGCGAGTTGTATACTTGATTTACACAGTACAACTCAAGTTGTAAGCAGGTTGCATGTGACAGTTTTAGGCAAAATTTGTGTTGTGTAAATTGACCTTTAAAACTCAGTTCGAATTTTTATTGTTGGTTTGGTCAATTTGTGAGAAAAATTAAATTGATGTTTGAAGTAAATAAGTTGATTATCACACACATTTTGTGCTTTGAAAAATGAAATAGTCAGATTGCTGCTCGTCAACGGTAGAAAGCTCTAGATTTGGCTACAATAGACCTTTCCGTATGTCACTTTGGCTCACGATTTGAAAAAGAGGCTCTATAACGAAAATGACATACTTTCCGTGAAAATATGATTGCCAATCAGTCATGCTATATCTTGTTCTAATATAACTACCTGTTTGCGAGCAATGGAAAATGCAAAAATACAATGTGACCAGCGCAAAAAAATGATAACCTTTACACAAATCTAAAGCTGTTTAACATAAACACAAATTTCAACCCAGTTAAAGTTCACTACAATGACATAATTTTTTGTGAAATCCACTTAGTATTTGCTAATGTGGCTTCCTGATTGCTACCTCTTTGACTTCAACACAATGCAGTTGTCTGATCTTCACAGTTACATGTGAGAATATAGTACTAAATATTCACTCAAACACCCCCAAACTTCCTCTGGTTACTCCGTTTGTTGGACCGCTTGGAAGAATCGTACGAGTAAATCTATTCCCCCAACAGGTTCCAAAATATCATACTCCCTTACTGAATACAACTGAACTCAATTTAAAATGTACAATGGATCAGGTGGCACCACTATGATTATGAGAGATGGACATTAAGGCCTGTCTACATGATAAGATCAATCATATACGATTGTGATTCTGGCGTATGAAATAATACCACAATTCTCTTCATTCAGTTTGGGCATGCACAAGTGTTTAATCCGCTACATACGCCAGAATAGAAATCGTATATGACTAATTGTTTTGTGCAGTCAGGCCTGTAGGAGACAGCACAATCTAATAAAGAGGGTCCCTAAAGTTTCATCTTTCACAAAGCTGTTTAGTCGTTGCTAAATCTACCTTGCGCCTTGTCAAACTATGAAGCTTTTATACCTTAAATTTCTTTGACTTGAGATCAGATTCTTTGCTTTGCTCAACATTCTCATGACCTCTCTTTACACTACTTGCCGGGACTGGCATCTTTTCCAAACTTACTGCACCCTTGACAGTCTTATTACGCGCTTCTGCATGATAGATAATGCTACGAACATTCCTAGAAACTGTCGCCTTGCTTTGGTCGGGTTTTAGCCCAAACAGCAGCCCGAGATTAATAATGTCATAGGGGCCTCGTAACTCAATTGTCTGTTCAGCACCGCTCGACATGACGACATTCCGACCCTTGCAAACGCGAATCAACTCCAATGCGTTTGTAATTGTATGCTTTCGTAAGCTCTCGTCTCGAATGGCGGGCGCATAGAGTATCTCAAAACTCACACCTCGTTCGATAGCTAAGTTCACCTGAGGATGCTTAATGTAGAATGGCATTCGTGACGTCATATCAAAGCTAATGACGTCACATTCAACCGCCTGGCTAATTTGTTGGAAGAGTTTTTCATTTGTCGGTTGTACACTAACAATGTCGTAACTTTGTACAGTTTCTCCGGGGATAAAACGTACTTGCTGTTGGTCTTCAATAATGACAGTTATCCTCGACAGCAGCTTTAATTTCGGACAAGTTTTTTTCAAATCTTCCAACCCTGGCAAACTGGTTAGATTTGGAGGACCTGGTATTTTGTCTTGCCCGCCTTTCCCCTTCACGTCTGGTGAAACGGTCCTGTTTATAGCAATAGTTTCATAGCCAAGGTTCACGAGAGTCGAGATGTATTTCATTAAAACGCGAAGGTCATTTTGATAAGGCACAGAAATGTCCCCAAAAGACGCCATCTTGGATTGAAAACGTGCTAGAGCCAGGCTCTTTCCCACGAGAGAGGGTGAATAAACTCTGGAGCAAACAAAACCGTCGTTTGCATCCGAGGTTGAACAGTCGCAGATAAAATCAGGTGAAACGTTCATTGTTTGTCAGGTTCAGATTTCCATATACTGTGCCGCTACTATAATAAGGGACATTAACCAATCAGATACGTTTGATTTATCCGATCAACCAATCAGATGCGTACTAAGCCAGTGTCAAATCTATTTCGTTAAATTATTATTTTGTAATAACTGTTAAGGCTATTTCGTGAAGTTAATAAATTAAGCCAGTGTCAAATCTGAACCTCGATATTTTTTATATTACCTGGATGCGCGCATGTTTTGATCAAGTCCTACATACGTAAAAATCTCACAACTTGTCAACAAGATGTGTTCGCAACAGGCTTGTAGGAAGCTTGTCCAACAAGTTGTAACAATGTTGTCATTTTATCAAGTTGCTACAAGGTTGTCACTCACAACGTGTTGACAAGTTGTTGAATTGCAAGACGATAACAAATTGTTGGAACAACTTGTAACAAGTCTGTTGAGCTCAAAACCTTGTAGCAAGTTGTCAACAAGCTGTGGACAACTTGTCAACAAGCTGGGAACAAGCAGTGCGAACACATCCTGTTGACAAGTTGTTGAAACAGCGTTGCTGCAAGTTTGTTACAACTTGTGCGTTTTTGCGTATGTATACGCGCAAAAATCTCACAGCTTGTCAACAAGAAAGTCTGGACGAAGTTGTTATCATCTTGTAACAAGGTTGACGAAGCCAAATACTCGCAACAAGTTGTTCCAAACAAGTCTGATATCGTGTGTACGTAACAAGTTGTCACAACCTTGTAATCAACAAGGTGATATAACAACTTGTTCCAGACTTATCACAACAACTGGGGACAAGCAGTGCGAACACATCCTGAAGTCGGCTTGACAACAACCTTGTTGCAACTTGTTTGCAGATTTGTAACGAAGTGTTTTAGGACAGAATAAAGCCTGGATAATTTTGCTCAAATATATCCTAGGATTGGATGAAGTTTGACTAAGTCCTAGGAGTGAGGCACTTTTTCTCTTGCAGGTATACATATCCCATATCAGTCATATCACAAACATTACTTTACATGTAAACAAAGGTTACAAAAAGTCCTTTAAGAGAAAATAAGTATTTTGACTAAAACTGTAAACTTTACATAACATGTCTTAAGATAAAATGAAATTTACAATTAAGTACAACTATTATAACATTGTATAATTTCATCTTCTGCCGAGTCTATACAATTATATTCAAGTTCAAATAAAAATGAGAAGCTAGGTCCTGTGTTATTCTTTTCGCGGTAGTGGATTCACGATCATACTCTCAATGTATTCAAATACAGTATGGGGATCCTGATCGGCATTTATGTGTTGTGCAAATCGTTCGTAATAATCCGCAATATCTTCGACGTGTTCCTGATATGCAAGGAAACGTTCGGTCACCCTGTCTTCTTGGTCTTCTGGATGCTAGAAGAATTCAAGAATTGTATGTAAATCAGGGCTTTCATAATCTCAGGATTTTGGGGGATCTCACAACCAAGCAAGATGGTTTTGGTAGTTGTAGCTATACTTGGCAGAACAGTTTAGAAGTGATAGAGCTATCCAGTATAAAGTTAGTTTAGTTCGGGTTTCCTCCTGTAGTAACACTGGATCAATAAGAGATATGATCCTCACTGGACCTCTAGGGAGAACAGTTTAGAACTGATAGAGCTATCCAGTGTAAATAAAGTTAGTTTATAGTTTAGGTTTCCTGCTGTAGTAACACTGGATCAATAAGAGATGATCCTTACTGGATCTCTAGGGAGAACAGTTTAGAACTGATAGAGCTATCCAGCATAAATAAAGTTAGTTTAGTTTTAATATATACATACTGTTTGTAATCTTTGTTTTATTTCGTTTGTACGAGGTGGATTGTACAGAAGATGATACCTGAAATCAAGAGTATAATCCCTTTGTAGAGGTAGATTTCATCAACAAATCTAAAAGGCCTGTTTACAGTAGGTAGCTATCAAAGTTTTGCGATTACAGTATGTAAGTTTTGAATGATTTGTAAGAAATGCTTGAGAGAACTGACTTAGTGTTAAAAATTGAGTCAGCTCCCTCAAATATTTCTTACAAATCCTTCAAAACCTAGAATTTACATATTCCTAGCTACTGTGATCACAGAAACTTTAATGGTGTAATCCAGGCTTCAGTATTTGACATATTTCATAAATTTCTAACCTTTCGCCCGTCTGTGGATCTGTACTGCGCAAAGTTAAACGTTCTAAGATGGTATCTTTTGGGACATCAAGAAGAAGCACCCTATGATATAATAAATTCCGTAAAAGAAATAACATGATCATCCAGTTAAAATGTTCCAATCACATACGAGAAGAACGCTTCCGTTTGACTCTCATACCGCAGGATTCCTTTCAGTACTCTGGTTTCCTCCTGTAGTAACACTGTGCTGATAAAGCAAAACCCACATTGGACCTCTACGAAGAACAGTTAGACATAAACTTAGTTTGGGGAGCATATTTTACCTGTTAGGCTCAAATCCAAGATTAGTCAATCCTTCACTCTGCCTTCGTGTCGTTGGAAAAGCGTGTAGAACCCAGCCTCGAGTGACACAATCAAGTTGACTTAGTCTGTTTCGGAGCAGTGGTATGATCAAATCATCTGGTACTACATGTAAAGGAAGTTACAATTACGAACCGAACACGCGAACTCAAACTTGAAAGGCGCTTGCTCTGTGAAGACTATACACCACCGAAGTCCCTAAATAGAAGGGACTATAAAGAACTATATATAACTCAAGCGTGCGGGTCCAGTTTAGAATTCGACAGCAAGCGCGAAGGTTTGAACATGGTTGCATGGTTTATAAACAAGCAAAGTTTCTTCGATAAAACTATCCTACCGTCCATTCTTTTATCCATGAAAGATTTTATAGCTTCTCCAACTTTCGAGTCTTCAGCGAGTGACTGTTTGATAAGCAGGTCGCAATTCACTACACAAACACGAATTAACCGCATTAGGGACCGCGGATTATTTATGGCTGGGGTGGCACCGAAGAGAAAATGGTTGGGTAAACAAACTTTTGAGCCGCGAGTAAAAGGTTGGGTAAATGAAAAACAAAACAACTCAAGGGTTGGGTAATAAAATATTTACTGTCATTTCCAAAGCACGACTCAGTCAAATATTGAAAACAAAAAAGCAATGTCAACAGTCATATGTCAATTCTTTTGGGTTTTTTTTGTTTGCAATGACGTAATTTTGGAACTTCAGTTGACGGGCAGGTATAACAAAAAACGGCCATTTTAATGTCCAGATAATCTTGATACGCGGAAAAGAACTGGCACTAGTTGTCAAATAGAAATCCATTTTATGATTAAAACAACTGAATATCTCCTGTAATATACTTTATTTCGATTCCATATTTTTGTCAGAGCTATAGTTCTCATAA